TTACTATACTTGTATGCCACCCATTCTTGAGGCTCCAGACAGCTAATAAAAAATTATTTTTTAAAAAAACCCAAAACCCACATGAATAAGCCAGGCATGACATAGAGCCCACTTCCATATTATAAAGCTCGTCTTCCTATGCCAACTGGAAGACAAAAGTTTTTAGGTTTCCTGAAGCACAGAAAGGATGAAGCAGACTGAAGCTCCACTGGGAAGGAGAATGAGGACAGCAATGGAAAAAGCCCACTTCCAAGGCCCTGTCAGATGTCAGTCCCACAAAGAGAGGACCTGAAAATAGTTGACCCCATGAAATCTGGTTAGACAGGTACATGAATTCCAGAGGAGTCAGTCTCTCAAATAACCAGGATTGAGCCATACAGGACCTTAAAGGTAAAAACCAGTACCTTGAATTTAACCCAGAAGCCCACTGACAACCAGTGGAGCTCCCAAAGCAGGGCACACCCATCATTGCCTGAACTTCCACATCCTATACAGCTGTACCTTCCAGATATTCTTCAGGGGCAACCCCATGTGGAATGTATTACAGTAATATAGACAGAAGGTGACTAGGGCATGAGTACCATGAGCAGGCCTCCTGATCCAAGACTCATTGCAGTGGGCACCCCAGATAGAACTGTGCAAAAGCCCTTCTAGTTACAGCTGCCACCTACCCTTTGAGCAGGAGCTGTGAGTCTAGGAGAACTTCCAAATTGTGGACCATCTTTGAGCAGGGGAATACAACCCATTTAGAGACAAAGATGGCATTTATTTATTTATTTATTTAATACATCCACCCATCTCAAATACATGACTCTGGGTGGCTAACAATAAATAAAAACAAGATAAAAACATCACAACAAAATAATAAATAACACATACAGCAGCCAGGATAAAAACCAACTAATGATTTCCATGGAATTGTTAGGCCCACAAACCCAGAGCCACTCCATCTTGGAGAGATTCAGTGTGACTGTTCCGCCCCATTCAGACCCTGACAGCCTCCCGGCACTAAGTTAGCACTTCCGCTACATTGATTATTTAGCCCAGGACTGAGATGTATAGTTGAGTATCATCAATATATTTATAGGGAACATATGCTTTAATAAATATTTCCTATAAATTTATGCCATGGTATACTTCCAAATTTATGAAAAATATGCCTTCATTATAAAACAAAGCATTATGTAAGTGTAACTCTGGATTTATACCCTTCTTCCTAACAAAGTAATACTCGATTTAAAAAAAAAGTTTGTTGTCTCATGAAATTTTCTTGAGAACTGAATTTATATTTTTCCCTCCATAAGGCAGGTGCTGGGAATGGAGGTAACAATGCATGAAAAGTAGAACAACATTTTACATTATCATATTATAATGGAATATTCATTCAAGCCAATACAATACTCAAAGATGTATGCCTGTGCAGTTAATCCCATGAATCTGCCCCCTCTGAAAATATGGGTTTTTTGGGGGGGCAGCCTACTGATTACTCATGATGTTCAGGAACGCAAAAGGGGCTTCTGTCATCCAATTAATGCACACATATTGTAAGTATATTAGAAACAAATGAGCATTTAATCCTAGGCTGGACAGCAGCTGATCATTACAAAGTTACTTTTGCTCCTCACCATTTGCTATGTGTGGCAAAGTAATAATTTTTTAGATACAGGGGATAATGGAGAGAAGAAAAGGAATATATAGAATGCTTGGGTGGCACAATCTGTGGGACACATCCTTATGGTTAGAAAACTGGAAGCAAACTCTAAGCTCTGCTGAGTTGCTAGAAAGCTTCTAACCAGAATTGGCAAGCAGAATAAGAACAGATTAGCAAACTTTGGCTCAACTCATAATCTGGTAACATTATACAGACATAATACTGCACTATAGTTAGCCATGAAAACAGGAAGATGGACAGCAGGAGAACATCCAGAAATGGTAATCTGCTGAAACCAGAAAATTAATACCCCCCACCCTTTTTTTAAAATATAGGACAAAACCTATTTTTACTCTGTATCTCCAGCAGCTTTTGTGGAGAGTTACAATGAATGTAAGACTGAGATGGATCTTGAACATGGATTATCTGCCTTCAGATAAAACTTCTGGTCTTCATCCAATTCTCTGTATGTTCCAAAATGAAACCTTCTCATTTATATCTAGCAATGATTTTTCTCACTTTAGGAGAGCTTAAAGATGGGAAGAAAATGTGTATACTGAAGGAAGTAACAACAGCATACTGAGCTGTCAGATTGATCAGCAACATGTTAGTTAGAATTATCTCTCTTCTGGGTTTCATCTGAATTAGTCTTAGAAACTCAGTCTTGGAAACTATTTAATAGTTTTTTATAATTATGACTCAAGACCATCTCTGAGCATATAGGGAAGGCCAGGCTATCATTTCTTACCGTAAGACCCCAAGCCGTCAGCACTGGCAACAAGGCTTCCTGATCACCTGACCTAACTTCAAATTAAAACAGCCAGGCCTCTAATGTTAATGCAGATGAGATCAACTGCCATTTGATTACTTTCCTGCCAAAACTGTCCCCATCAGCAGCCATGGCAAAGGGAGAGAAAGAGTATACAACTCCCATTTTATTTGCTTAGCACATTCCCTTCCTCAACTGCTTCAGGCAGCAGCCATGAGAGGAAGAGATTGGTGGGGTTATGAAACGTTAATTCAAAACCCATGAGGAGGAAAGAGGATTCACTCCTACCTCATGGAGAGCCATGAGGAGAAGAGTAAGAAAAATGAGAGAAAAAGGAAAAAAGGCGGGCTCCAAGCCCCGCCCACACAAAGCAGAAAAGCTAGGCTGCAGCGAAGCCACCCCTCCCTTTGTGCTTGTGTGAGACAGGCTTGGTTGAAAACCCATATTTTCCAACACCCCTTCTTTTCAACCTTGCATGTCTCTGTGTCTCACAATATTTAGTTTTTCTCTTAGTTTCTGATAACTGGTTCTCAACAACGGCTTCATGAAGATGTCCGCTGTCATGTTTCCTGTGGGATAGTAGTCTAGTTTGATTAACCCTTGTTGTTGCAACTCTCTCACCACATGATGCTTTACATCAATGTGCTTACTTCTCCCACCTACTTTCTCTGACTGTGAAAGTCTGATGCAACTCTGACTGAATTCAAAGATTTGTATAGGGGTTGGTTCGTCTATACCCATGTCTGCAAGCAATAATCTAAGCCACACAGTCTCATTACGTGCGTCTGTTGCTGCCACATACTCTGCTTCTGCAGAGGACTGTGCTATTGTGCTTTGTTTGTGACTTCCCCAGCTCGCTGTTCCACCCCATAGAAAAATACATAGCCACTAGTGGACTTACGGTCAGCAATGTTTTCTGCCCAGTCTGCATCTGTGAATCCCACTAGTCTAGGATTCTCAGTGGCTGGCAGTTTTAGTTTTAGGTGCATGGTCTCCTTTAGGTACCTTCCCACCCGCTTGATACCAGTCCAGTCTCTCTGTGTGGGCGTGCTTGTCTTCTGCATGGAATGCCCACGGCAGCTGCAATGTCTGGTCTAATGGTGGTGGCCAGATACAACAATTTTCCTATGGCACGTCTATATTCATTGTTCTCTGGTAGGAAATCGCTGGGTTCTTGTTGCTTGTGGAAAGCTGTCTCCATCGGTGTAGGTGCAGGATTGGCATTCTGCAATCCTAAGCTTTCCAACAGTTCTAGAATCTTTTGGTACTGACTTAGAAGAAAGCTCCCAACTTCTTCTCTCTTGAACTGTATTCCTAAGTAGTAGCTGACATTGCCCAGATGCTTTATTTCTACTTCTCTATTTAGTTGAGAAACAACATCATTAAAGTCCCTCTTGTTATTGTGGCAAATCATTAAGTCATCCACATAAAGTATATACACATCCCTCCCATTTCTGTGTCTTGTGTATAGGCACGGATCAGCTTTTCCTTGAACAAAACCCTGGTCAAGAGGTATTTGGTTTAGCTTCTTGTTCCACGCTCTGGCTGCCTGCTTCAGGCCATAAATTCCCTTCTGAAGCTTGCAAACAAGATGCTT